AGGATGATAAAATATAAAATACTTACCATGCACACAATCACCTATTCCACGGGAGTATAACAGATCTTCCTCCTTCTTTCTTCTGTACTCCGTGAACGTATAAATATTTGAATAGAGGGAAATTGCTCTTTTATACAAATATAGCTGCAGCAAAAGTGAAAGTGAAATGATTGTCATCAATGAAGGCGGTTGGGCGCTGCTAGTGCTGATTGGAGGATGAGAGGATTAGAGGGTAAACAAGGTGGGATGTTTGCCTTTCTGACAGGGAAGTGCTGATTTGATCAGAGGATTAGAGAGAGCAGAGTATCAGGATCAATGGATTAGAGGGTAAATATGGTGGGATGGGTCAAGTAAAATTGCATTAATTGAATAAATTGTGTCAATGAATTATAATTATTTAAATAGATTTTAATAGAAATGAACAGCATATCAATATTTGAGAGGGAAAAATTAATCCTTATTCAAATAAGCTGGTTTTCCGGTGTGTGGGGCCATTATGTCCTACATTGCATTTGGGACCATTTTGTCCGGGGCCATTATGTCCGGGGCCATTTTGTCCGGGGCCATTTCGTCCGGGGCCGTTTTGTCCGGGGTCATTTTGTCCGGTTCCCATTTTTTCGTACTTTGCAGGTATGGGCGTTTATTCCGTGGGCATTTTTTCTTGTGGGCGTTTTGTCTGTGGGCATTATTTCCGTGGGCATTTTTTCAGTGGGCGTTTTTTCGGGGCACCCCGTATGGATGGTGATACCACGGAGAACGACACGATCGTAGAGGAAAATGTATCCGCTGCTTAGCGAAACTCGTCTCGAAACGGCAACGTTCGTCTCGAGGCTGCGAAGTCGAAGGGGACCCCGTGCAGGGCCGATTGAGGATGATAGGGATGATTTCGGCCAGCAGCGGCGGGTTCTATCTTCGAGGATCCCGGTGCTCGAATCACTCGGTTCGAGGAATCCTAACGCTTCCCCTCGAAATCCGTGTCGATGGCCGAGGAGGTTCAGGGTTTTCCTTTTCTTGGACGACGTTCGAGGGCGTTCTCATTTCCCGAAGACGAACTGCGCCGGTATATCATCTTCTTGTGGAAGACGAGTGGTAAACACGGAGAAGAACATCTCATTCGTCCACGAGTACTGGAGGAGACAGGGGGGAGGGGGGATCGGGTGCAGCGGCGGATATAGAAACGTTTAATAATGGGGTAGTTCCCAAGTTTCTACCCCCACCTATAGTCTATCCGGTCCAACTTTACCACGCCGGCATTGCCTGTTTTATGGTGGCTCATTAATTTTGTGCTGTCATCTGCCTGTCAAAATGTCGGAAAGGGGCTCGAGGCTATCAGTGGCGGACCTAGGTGTTCCTGGCACTCGTCAGGCATCTTAAGATTTCTAAAACCATACATATGTGATGCCCCCCCCTCCGCTCAGGAGCGTCGCGCCAGTGTCTGGCGGAGGGGTCAAAGGGAAATCACCCTCTCCCCTCAGGGGAGAGGAAGATGGATGGCATTTAACGACTCCTTTGAGGATTAAAAGTGTGGCAAAGTTGGACCGGATAGACTATACCACCACTCCCCGTCTTATCGCCTTTTTCATTTTTCGTCTGGTGTAAAGAATATCTATTTCACTGGCCCCAATAATATTTAACGTAGATGCTATTTAAAAAAAAAATAAAAATATATAGAATGCTAACCTGGCCATACTAACCGGGTAACCCGACTAACTGAGCGCCCCCCTGGATCCGTTACTGGCCGGGTACAGGAGACACTTGGGTCGGTCACAGGCGGGCACAGGACTCAGGAATGTGTAAAAGTGTAAGTCTCACTCTGTCGCATTGTATTCCGCCGTTTGGTTGGATTGCACCTTCTCCCCCACTCCAAAAGTTATCTACCCGACAGAATGAGTTCACGTAGAGAGGTGAATCTGTTATTGCTTTTCTATACGGTCACCCAAGTCGAATACGCTGGTCCCGTTTGCCCCAGAGACATGGTAAATATACCTAGACTGGACAGGCCAATGGAGAAAGCCAGGCAGCCGCACGCCGATTAGAAGGGTCAGTCGCCATCGCTCATGGCGTCAAATCGACCAATAAACGCATAGCTTTCCAATTAATGACGTCACACTACACAGTTTTGACGCTTTCCAAGAAGACTGCCTAGGCCTAAACCTAGGCCTACCTGGTCTTCAGAGACGATGCATGGTATTTTGAAAAGTGATTAATGCCACCCATTCCGTCTTTATTTTCATTGCACTCAATAAGAGGGCGTATTATCAGTTCCCATGCAGTTAGGTTCAGGGTCTACATGAGGCTGTTCAGCAGGCTATGAAAATTCCGCCACACTTAAGGTTAGACCCCCCAAAAGGGTCAATAGTTATCAAGCCAGGTTCATCATTGTAAGACCTGATACCCAACCCAGTCAGTGGTCTTTCATAGTATACGAATCCTGAACACATTGACCATGTGCGCCTCAACGAATCCCATGCTTCATCCTCTCCTTGACGCCATCAGTAATGGCCGCTAGCCCTTCAAATCGGCGTGAAATCTTCGACTGCCATGTCCGGTCTAGGTATATTTACCATGTCTCTGGTTTGCCCGGTAGCGAAGAGAGAGAAAATTGCGAGTCTTGCTTCTCCAACCACTCGTACGCGGCAGCCTTCTCTTCTTCGTCCCCGCTGAACCGGCGACCGCGTGAATGTTTCTTCGGTCGTCGGAACAAATCACGATCGCTTGGGGCCAGGTCTGGACCGAAGAGTGGTTCGTAGATTTCCTCAAAGCCTCAAACGCTCGAACGTTTCTCTCGGCGAAATCCCTTCTTTTGTAAGGAACTTCATGACAGCACGATACTCCGGCTTCGTGTTGTCCATTCGAACGATTTTCAATTAAACTGCCGAAACACTACTTACCTCTTACTCCCTCCGAGTAATACTTCGATGTCCCTAACTCTGTCTACGCGCAGTTTTATCTCTCCTCTTTCACGCTCGGGTAGATAACTTTTCGAGTGACCCTCGTATGTTCTCCTCATCGCTCGAGAAGACTTAGTTCCTACTCGGGAACGACGAAACGTTCCTTGCGGATGGCCGACCGAACGAGTGTCTTTTTTTTTTTCCAAATTTCTTTCCCTTTCGTCGGGCAAGGAATCAGTCTACGGCCGGATCTTAATCGCGACGGAGCGCTTTCTACGGAGCGACCGCTTCCGAGTCCGAGACGGAGTGGATCTCCGTGCCGTCCGCGGCACGTCTTGCATGTCGCGAGTACGGAAAGGCGAACGCAGAGACGGTGGATCGGACGACGTCCCGGCCGGTCCCAACCTGTCCCGACCCGTCCCGACAGTTTAACACCTACCGCACGAGTCTGCCGACACGATTCACCATTTGCTTCGTAATTTGCACGGTGATTTGCGGACGACCGATCGGAGTGCTCTCCGTTGCATGGAAGCTCATCTCGCGCGATATCCAGGAATCCTCGAGGAGAGACTCCATCCGTGTCGGGGACGGTTTCTGCACGATACAGTGAGGAACCGTTTCGGGTTCGAGTGCAGAGAATCAGTTGGCAGAAGTGTCCACCGGAGGACCGAATGGAGAGGGGGTGAGGGAGAAGGAGAGAACCGCCACATTGAGGACCTCACGGATTTCGTCCTGAAAATTCGAATCACTTCAAATAATTTTCGGGCTTCGGAAAAATGAGATCCGCGAAAAACAATCGTGGCAACCCTGGGAAGCCATTCTCACTCCAACACGATTCTCGATGCTTCGAGCGAATGTTTTTTTGCGCATGGAGTCGGTTATTATGCAGATGATTCGTGTTTTCATAGGCTATCTCCGAAATCTTGCCGCTTTGGAATTAGGGTGTGATCTCACACGATTCTTCCTCTTTTCTACTGAAGGTTGATGTTCACGCTATGTATTTAAGGAAAATAAAATCCACGAAGAGTGTGGACTGGAAATTAAAAATCCGACTAGGTAGGGGCAACTGTCCCGATTGGGGGGATCCACTTCCTTACCACCACCTTGCCACCTCCCCTACCTCCTTCCACTTCGTTTTGGAACCGGGTGATGCCTCTTTCACACCACTCCAGTTCCGCGTCGTTCCGTCCGCGCTTATTCTAGCGACCCGTCTCCTGCGACTCGGTCATCTTGCATCGTCTTCAGCGTCACAGGGCACCGGGGCGAAAATCGCTAGGGAGAGCGGAATGCTCGAGACCGACGACTGGCACTAACCTGGAAGAACGGACGGAGGAAGAGGAGAAACCGGCGATGAAACAGACGAGGAAAACCATCCTCGCATCCATCGGGAAGGAATCGACGAAAAAGAGGAAAAGCCGGGAAGAAACCGCCACGGATTGGATGCAACCGAGAGACGAAGAATTCGGCCCTCAGCCGGGCAAGTTTTCGCGCTACTTGGCCTTCGGCAGAACGACACGAGGGAAGGAGAAGGAATTTACCGGCTCTTTCATTCGACCCGCGTCATCACAAGACTCTTCGGCGCGCGTCGAACGTTTCCCCGCATATCGGAAACCGAGGTCCGTCGACTTTCGTGGAACTTGCATTCCCGGGAAATCGCCAGGCTTCCGTCGTTTCCGTTCCCCTTTTCCTCGGACATCACATGCCTCAGTTTTCCCGAAAAACGAGAAAGGAATCGGTCTTCGGACTACGAGAAACCCGAACGCAGCGTCCGAGCAAAGGCCGTGAGACTCGAGGCACTGGCCTCGTCTTTTGGACACTGTCTGCGGATCAACGTCTATGATCACCTTCACCGAACAAGAACGACGCAGCGAACACGGTGGAAAAACGGGAGACTCGGTGAGTCACTCCACCGCAGTGGTACGAAAGTCAGAAATTCTTGGACAAAAGTCATATTTTGAAAATGGAGGAAGAAAAAATATTTTGTCGTTAAAAGTTACGGATTTAAGTCTTTGTCCTTCAACGCTATTTCTCCAGGCCTTACTCTGGTCCTTTATTAGCCTTTACGTGGCGCAAAGGTCAATGATTCGAACTTTTCTTAAAATATTGAAACTTGATGCCGAATAGTGACGAAAGTTTGTCGTGTAATACCAATGTTCATGTCGCTGTGTTTTCATCAAGTGCGATCTGAAGGTGGGTCTTGCTTATTGTATGAACAGTTTTACTCCTGATGTATATGCATAACTCATGTTATTTATTAGATCCTGTGTAGTTGATTGATGAACTACTTCTAATGACAAGGTAAATTTATCGAGTGAATTTGAAATACTTCTCAATATTTCTCAGAGAATTGCTTATAGGCCAATGTCTGAACGTCTATTAATGAAGAACAAAACCAGCCCCTAATCTCCTGCGCCCAGCTGCGCCTAAAATGAGGAACTTTTTTTGAAGACCAAGCCTGCCGATTGGCATCGCTGTCTGAAAACCTGTCGTTCTTTCTGCAAGACTTAGCATTAAGAACCAAGGCAAGACTTCTGAAAAGCTCGACTCTTTTCAACAATTCAAATTGCCCTGGTTCACGAAAAAATTATCGGCTTATTTTATTGCGAGCTTGAATGAGCTCGACCAACACAGGAATGACACTTGAGTCAGCAAGGTCGGCTTGGTTCATCTCCCTCATGATGTTGTAGAGGTCCATTCGAGTCAAAGGCTTTGGCATCCTTCCTGAAGAAATTGCGAGACCAACAATATGAAAAAATTCCTCACTTTAGGCGCAGCTGGGCGCAGGAGCTTAGGGGCTGGTTTTGTTCTTCATTAATAGACGTTCAGACATTGGCCTATAAGCAATTCTCTGAGAAATCTTGAGAAGTATTTCAAATTCACTCGATAAATTTGCCTTGTCATTAGAAGTAGTTCATCAATCAACTACACAGGATCTACTAAATAACATGAGTTATGCGTATACATCAGGAGTAAAACTGTACATACAATAAGCAAGACCCACCTTCAGATCGCACTTGATGAAAACACAGCGACATGAACATTGGTATTACATGACAAACTTTCGTCACTATTCGGCATCAAGTTTCAATATTTTAAGAAAAGTTCGAATCATTGACCTTTGTGCCACGTAAAAGCTAATAAAGGACCAGAGTAAGGCCTGGAGAAATAGCGTTGAAGGACAAAGACTTAAATCCGTAACTTTTAACGACAAAATATTTTTTCTTCCTCCATTTTCAAAATATGACTTTTGTACCACTGTGCACCGGCGAGAAACCGGCTTTCTTTTTACTCAACAGAGACATCTTTTGGGGGAAATCCCGATTTCTATACACGTTTCCCAATTTATGAATCCATACAGAGCTTTCCGTTAGTTTAAGATCTTCCTCTCGCTCACGTTGGTGGAGGCTGGGCTCGACGGACTGCAGTCTTCCGTCTATTTTTTATTTCTTCTGAATAGTCGTCGACAACTCCGCTTTGGGTTTAACCCTTTCAATGTCAAATTAATGTGAGTGGTCAGAGATGCACTGAACTCAAGCGAAAACTTGCTGGTAACTGAGGCTCTTCGCTATATCCAAGATCGGATGACAGTTCATTCTTTCAATTGGACTTCTGCTTTCCTCAAATCTTTGCTGCAACAAGCTTTGAATGAATTTCAGTGTCTCCAAATGGAGACGCTACCATGGAAAGGGTCAATTTCAAACGGTGTCTGGGAACATCGGTCTATGCACGACGCGAGTTTCGTAAAAATGGTAAAAACAGCGGACGCCAGTTAAAAAGCCGAATCCGTAAAACTTTGGCATGTTTCATTGATGGTAGAAGCAAACACCTGGGCAGCATTCTTCCTCTACGACGCTTATTTACAGAATGTCGACTAAGCACGACACTTGCGGCGGTATTACAGGGCTATGAACGTTTATATAAAGGTTACGACCATCTTATTCCTTGAATTATGCTAAAGGTCATAACATGACTTTCTTAAAATGCACTGTTACATTTGTCGGCAATGATCTATCGTCCCAAATTCCCCAAAAAAGGACTTCTGGGTTCAAAATTCTGAAAGTGCTGTGACATTCTGTGGAAAAAATCCTTTATTACTGAATTCCCAAGGACTCCCACGTGTGTATAACTTGACAAAAAAATCCACACACAACCAATTTTCTTCTGGGAGAATTTCTTTGGATGAAACAGAACAGAGCAGACAATAATATGTAAGAATGGTTATACTCTTGATGGGATCCACAATGAAACAAAAAAAACAATTTTGGCCAGGAATACCTCTGGATCCTTTCCGGTATGCAAACAGCTGACAGACAGAACAAAAAAATTGAAGATATATCTACAGCTGAAGTGTGTGTGTGTGTTGTGTGTGTGTGTATTTTGTATGCATGTATTGGGGCTATGAAAGAATTTCTCTTCTTCCACTCATACTCTCTTTCATACTTCCAGGGTATCACATGTGGGTGCGAGATGCGCAGCGTTCACGACAGATGGAAGGACAGCTGACCTTCACGTGTCGCAACATCCAGCTTCATGCGCATCACCTCCGACGATGAATAGTCTGGAAGCTTCAGGTAGTTCACACAGGTCATCACAGACGGCAGGAACGCATCCGCATCCTCGTCCGGTTCCAGTGTCTTCCTCACAACCGTCAGCGGTGGGCTGAGGCTCTTGAAGCCTGCAAGACAGATAAAAATTGCACTTACAGGGATCAAGGGGGAGGAAATGGGGATATGGCAGGATCATCTAGGTGACAAGCTCATGAAATAGTGCTCGGGAGTGGACTGCACACAATGTCATGAATGAAACTTGCCCTGATAAGTGATCATGAAATGTCACAAAGTGGTACATAATAAAATAACTAGCTTCTGTTTTTTCTTTGTGTTCTATTTCATGAAGAAAAAAGGAGTCACATGAGTAAGAATTATGCAATAATGCCATGGTACATGCTAGGGGCCATGATTACTTCTTGCTCCCTTTTCATTACCAAATTCAGGGGGTCCAATAATTCTTACTTCATTAGTAGAGCCCATTTTCATAGGAGGGGGAGACAGCAGTAAAAATGCTTTCAAGTTCAAGCACACATCTCACCTCCGACGGGGAGACGTGGAGATCCGGTGACAAACTGGAGGAAGCGGCGCTTTTCCTCCTCAGAATATGAGGAGAGGATTTCAAAGAGCCATTTGATGGCACGGGATTCATGTGTGTACCCGTGGTCTGGCCGACATGCCTCCACCAGGGTGCGGACGTCCCAAGAGTTCCCTGCTGCAGATTGAGATCCCCCACCGCAGAAGAGCTGGTCCAGTTCCCATGAGTAAAAGAGGTTCAAGTTGGTCAGTGGGAAGACAGCTTCAAAGCCCTCCTTGAAAGCCTCCATCTGACGGCTCACCCCCTCCACCAGTGTCCAATGGCACACCAGCTGCCAAATCCAAATGTATTAAGTCATTTTTTCACTATTCATCAAATCCAAAAATTTGCATAATTTCAATTGCAATGTCAGGGTCTAACATATAGTAAAAATAAAACTATAATTAGATTTTTCACCCAATAACTCAGGATCCTCGACTGACATTTTTTTTTTCTTCATAATACTTAATCCCCAATACAGCATCTGGACATAACATTTTCAAGAGATGCATAACAGTTGAATTATAGCATATAATGAATTGAATATAGCATTGAATGAATAAGATTCACCTGGAGATACTTTTGGAGATTCTCGAGGGTGACAGTGATGTCTCGTCCACCCTTGCACAGCTCCATGCCATGGCCTGGGAGAGTGAAGTCGAGGGCAAGATCGTCCACAGCAGTGACCAGGGTCTCTGTTTCACCATTTCCGTCCCACTCTGCCAATTCCCGGCGTCGCACAAGATCGATGAGCTCTGAGAGAGACCGTGCCATCGTGGTGTCGATGTGAGCCACATCCTTCACTGTCAAACATCGCTCCTCTCCAAGGAGCCAGGCATAGAACGCCTCACTCAGTGGAAGATCCAGCTGGTGGAGGAAAGAAAACATAATACAGTGGCAGCACAATGGCTTAAACTATTATAAATGGTTGAATGTAATATTCCACTCTTAGTGTAAATAATGGAGGTGCTAATGACTTAAAATGCTAAAAAGCCAGGTCAAATCTGTCAGAGAAATATAACTCTGGGAAGTCATAGAACTTCTGAGAAATACTACAAGAACTAACCTAGACATGGGTTTACCAGAAAAGTATTTTTGATCTGTCCATTTTTAACCTGTTTCAAACTTGTACTGATGCTGTCATTCTCATCATGAACATTTGATTTCTGGGTTGATCTTTCTAATTAGAGCTTGGAATCAGCCATGTTCAAGCATTCCAGTTTGATCACATATTTGACTGAAATCCTCTGGAGAAGTGACGCACCATGCGGGAGTCCATGAGGGCTTTGGCCATGAGGCGGCCAAGGAAACGGAACTTGGTCTTGATCTTGTTGATGGTGGAGGACTTGGCACTGCGAGGCTGCGGTGCTGGGAAGAGACCAGTGGGGGAAAAGATGTGTCCACTCACATCCTCCCCACGCCACAGCTGTTGATCACTTCGCTGTAGTTCCCGGGACACCAGTGTGTAGAACTCCAGTGTTGGACCCAGTCCAGTTCCAACCTGAATGCCACCATTCATCAAACCATTAGAACATCCAAAACTACTGATTCAAGAGATAAAGGATGTTCCAATGACACCAGTTCTATTGCCATAGTCCACCAATTGGGTTACTTCCAAAATCATCCAGGTGTCAATGTTAGGGAAATCCTTTGAAAAGGTCGAAGAGAAAGTTTAACACCAGAGATTATTCGAAATTGATTCAGTTTTACCCAAACTGACCAATGGTTTCCAACTGAGGAGAAAATTTTAATTCTCACATAACTTGTTTCATTTCTCACCTAGCATATACTGAAAATTAGATAGAGATACAGTGAATATGGACTACGTGAGAACAAAGATGTATACCTCTCCCTCGTACTGAATCTCAAGGAGGGCCTTGGAGGACCCAGCCTCAGTGAGAAGGGCCTCTGCTTGACGAAGGATGTCATTACGGGAGACAGTGCGCTTGCGGCGGTCAAAGCGGGGAGCCAGCCTGTCGCCAGCTTCCTGGGCCAGTTCTGGTTGCACATCCAGAAGGCGTTGGAGTGCACGATCACGGTCAAATGTCACACAGTGGAAGAGAAGCTGGCGTGTCTCAAACGGGAACAGGAATGGACTGCAAGAGGCAAGACAGTCAGAGGAAGAACTTTAGATGGCAGCACAAAGCAAAATTGAAGTTAGCAATCAGACTATAAATTTACAGGAATGGCAAGGAAAGGCTAGGTGAATGGACAACAAAAGATATGATGCATCAAAAGCCACAATTATATAGCAATTGAAGGCCTTAGAGCTGCTTCCTGTTATTTCCAGTTACTTCTCAATAAGGATTATTTCACCAATATGGTTAGTAGTTTTGAGTTTTTGTTTCTAGGATAAGAACCAGAAGGAAGATTCTGCCTTGGCTAATTGCCAGATTGACTATTCTCATTGCTCTCACCTGAGATTGTTCCCAATTTCAGTGGAACTCTCACATGAATAAAGAAAAAAATAGAACATGTATGCAGTAGACATGTTGCAAATTGCATTGGTACATTAACATCACAAGCACTGGGAGTTGGAGAACCATTCATCCAGAGCCATGTTTGAATCCAGGAAGGAAAGTTTCTCAGGGTTAATTTATTTCATTGTTGAAATATCATAAAATATAGCTAAACTTTATTTTATCCCTTCTATTGAACCTCCAATTAATTTGCAAACTGTCCTTCACATTTTATGTTTTCTCATTTCATTTTTGAAAAAATAAAATAGAGCCTCATTTGAAAAAGTAATAAGGTTTCTCATGCCAATGCCTGGATGCCTCTGGGTCAGCTTGAAGTTTTGTCAGAACTTACAGGAGTACCCTGAGTCCTCATAATAAAACATGGCAAAATTTGTGTGAAAGGACCAAAACTATTTTGTTCTAAATGCAACAGAGAATCATTTTTTAATCCTATTTTGTTATAAGTCCACCATAAAATCACAACCATTTATTTTGGCATGCAATTGATAGCAGCTACATCCTGCACATCCAAGCATCAATCCCATATGATTGCTCAGCATTGTCACCCTGACCTCAGCTGGAAATGAGTAATTTTTCACTGGGATAAATGAAAATAAAGAATATCTCAGAATCCATTTCTGCTATAATGAAAACCTTCAAGCCTCCTGGAACTCAGAGTCACGATTTTTGAGATGGTAGTACAGAATGGAGACCATGGAGGCTCCAACATGATGCATGTCCTTTTATATATATTTCAATTGTCCTTTGCCAATGAAAAAATGAAAATACAGTGAAAACTCGTTAACTCGAACTTTTAGGGACCGGGCAAATCGTTTCGAGTTATCCGAAGTTCGAGTTATCAGGAATCGCCCCCCCCCCCCCC